CAGCTTTTCCGTCTCTTCACCGAGCGACAGCGACCGTTATCCCCGGGGATTCCCCACCTCAACCGCACGGAGCTGGGGGGGCGGGGCTTGGGTGAGGGGGCGGGGCCTCGGTTGAGACCTTTCTGAGGAACGGAGCGGACTCTCCGGCGTCGGGTCCGATGAAGAGGGCGGAGCCTGAGGGACAGGGTGGGGCCCGGGGGAGGGGCGGAGCCTAATGGACGGGGTGTGGCCAGTGGGGGTGCTGGGCGGGGTATAAGGGATGGGGCGGTGCCTAGATGGGGCGGTACCGAAAGGCGTGTTTCTGAGGGGCGGAGCGGACTCCCCGGCGGGGACGGAGGGAAGGAGGCGGAGCCACAGCGGGGTGCGGCATTGGAGGGGGCGGGTTCTGAGGGATGGGATGGGGCCTAAGTGTGGGGGCGGGGTCTGAGGTAAGGGGGTGTGGTCTGAGGTTAGGGGCTTTTAGGCTTGGTGGTGGGGCGGGACTTGAGGGATGAAGGGGGAGGGGTGAATGTAGCTGTCACTCTGGGGGTGGGGCATGAGGAAGGGGCGGGGACTAGGGCAAGGAGGCTGACTGATGAAGAGGAGGGGCCTGGTGGAGGAGAGAGGGCCTAGGATTAAGGAGAGATGTGTTGGAGGGTGGAATGGCTGTACTGGGGGCAGGAACCTTCAGTCAGGGGCATTTCCTGGGAGTTGTGTGGAGCTGATGGGAAGTTGGTGAGGTTTTGGGTCAGGGTGTATCTGAGCAAATGAGTGTGGTTGAGGGCGCACATTGTGGAATAGCTAAAGGCTGTCTTGTGGCACATTGACTGTGTCCCTACCCCTGGATTGGGAGGCCAGGATTTAAATCCCACCAGCTCCGAAGGTGTGTAATAACATCTCTGAACAGGTTAATTATAAAATATAGGCTATATTAAAAAATAAAATAGGTAAGGGAGAACCAGTAAATGTGGTATACTTGGAAATTCCAAAGGCTTTTGATGAATTTGCTCATCAGAGGTTTGTGGATAAAGTTAAAGCACAAGGGACAGGATAGCACCTTGGCATGAATCAAGAATTGGCTAGCAGACAGAGGACAGAGAGTGGAAATTAATTATCATTTTCATTAGTGATAGGCAATGATGAGTGGAGTATTGCCAGGATCAGTGCTTGGGCCCCAGCTGTTTATGATATCTATAAATGACCTAGAGGCAGGAACCAAATGCAACATTTTCAACATTTCTAGACTTGAAACATTAACTCTGCTTTCTGTCCACAGGTGCTGCTAGATATGCTGAGTTCCTCCAGCAATTTCTGCTTTTGCAACTTTTGCAAGTTTATTGACAACACAAAAAAGGGTGGGATTGCGAGTTGTGAATAAATGCAAGAAGGCTTCAAGGGGCAAACACATAGTAGACGCAGTACACCATGGCAAAATGTGAAGTTATACACTTTGATGTAAAAAAGAAAGGAAGAGTATTATTTCAATATATTCTACAAGGAGATCTGGGTGTCATTGTACACCAGTCAATGAAAGCGACCGAAAGGCAGGCATATGTTAAAGGCAATTGGGAAAGCAAATGGTATAATGGCCTTCATTGCAGGCAGATTGGAATTCAGAAGTAGTATCTGAAGTACTGTGTGCAGCTTTGTGACATATGCAATGGATAGTTTATAAAGAACCATTGCATGACATACAGCAACTATGCAAACCTCCACGGTGCAAAAACTCAAAAATAGCTCAGTCCCTCGTAGCAGTCAAAGGCAGCCCATAAAGTTGCCAGAAAACCACCCTCCTCCCTCCTAGTAATTATGAAGATTGGGAGGTGTATAGAACACAATAGAGGAGAACCAAGAAATGGGTAATGAAAGGGAAAATATGCTATAAATGCAATCCAGCAAAAAAAAATAAAACAATGGACTGTAAAATATTCTATATGTATGTAAAAAGGAAATATTTGCCTAAAAAGAATGAAGGTTTGTATTGATAGGCTGAAAGTATCTAATGGGTCCTTTAAGGTCTGATCAAAATTATTACAAGAAGATATGTAGGGACCCTCTTTTGGTACAGTGGTCCAGTCCATACCAAGTGGGCCAAGAAGACCTGGATTCAAGTCTGACCTGCTAAGTAATAACATCTCCGAGCAATTTGATTAGAAAAACAGGTTAAATTTAAAAGAAAAATTACAAGATGTGCACTTTAACATAGAGCTAATCTGTTAGATTAATCTACTTTATATACAAGCTAATGAGTGAATCTATTACCTGAAACTACTTTATACAGAAGCAAACTAATGAGTCTCACTGTCTTGTCTTCACCCGGAAACTTTGGACAGCTGCCATTTGGATCTCTATTTCAGATTCCATGATTCCGGTCTCACAAACCCCAGTCCGATCAGGAAGGTCCATGATCCCAGACTCACGGACCTCAATCTGATGGGGAAAGTCCAACAAGTGGGACAAAGCCCCTGACATTAATACTATTCAGTATACACGCTGTATTGCCATTTCGTAGTATGTTCAGTATTTTTCCAGATATTCCATTGCGCAGAAAACAAATTGAAAACATCTCCAGGTGGCTGTGTTAACTACATTAAAATACTGGTTTCCAAGGTTATGCAGTGACCTCCCAGCCAAAACAAGCTGTTTTCCACACCAGGCCTATTTTCATATATTTTTTCACCTTAGGACTTTAAACTAGTGAGTTGGGGGGGAAGGGAAAGGGAAAACGACAGGGAGTATGATGGTAAATAGAAAGGTAAGCAGCAGGTTAGCATGTGTGCAGGAGGGTTTAAGTTCAAGGCAGACTATGAAAGAAGCAAAAAGGAAGGATAACTCAGGAGATATTATTAGAGATGTTGGAAATCATGAGGGTAAGAAAGCTAGCATAAAGGCACTTTACCCGAATGCTCGTAGCATTCGTAACAAGGTTGATGAGTTAACGGCACAAATCATCGCGCATGAATATGATTTGGTAGCCATTACGGAGACATGGTTACAGGATGGTCACGACCGGGAGTTAAATATCCAAGGGTACCAGACTATTTGGAAGGACAGACAGGAAGGTAAGGGAGGTGGTGTAGCCCTGATATTCAAGGACACCATCAGGGCGGTGCTGAGAGATGATATAGGTTCTATGGAGAATGAGGTTGAATCCATTTGGAAATTAGAAATTCTAAGAGGAAAAAGTCACTGATAGGCGTAGTCTATAGGCCACCAAATAATAACATCACATTGGGGCGGGCAATAAACAAAGAAATAACTAATGCCTGTAAAAATGGTACGGCAATTATCATGGGGGATTTTAACCTACATGTATATTGGTCGAACCAGCTAGGTCAGGGTAGCCTTGAGGAGGAGTTTGTTGAGTGTATCCGTGATAGTTTTCTTGAACAGTATGTAATGGAACCAATGCGGGAGCAAGCTATCCGA